GATTATTATTATTTTATTTTTCATGAGAATAAATCTATAAATTTTTCAAATAATTGAATATTTTCTCTATAAACTTAATCGCTACGTTAATAATGAATTCAATAAAAATTTCCTAGCGTTAGTTGATGGCCTAAAATAAAACAAGAATTTTCAATATTATTTTTCATTTTAATAAAATTTTGATTACTTCTTAAAATAAAATTTGACGCTATTTTATTTTATTAAAATTTCAATTTTAGGTAAAATTGAAATTAAACTTAATTTAATGCCATAATGGAAAATTTTATTATGGATGAATGGCTGCTCATTAATTAATTATTATTTATAAAATTTACGGTAAATGTTAATTGTTAATTTAAAAATTTTAAATCGTTGATTGGTTTGTTTTCTTTTGTTTAAGAAATTATGAAAATATTTTCATTTTACATTGCCTTCTTCTTCATCGAGCAACTCTCTTCGTCATTCGTCAAGTTGGCTGTTCCAAAAGTTGTTCGGTTCAATGCCGTCGTCGATAGTAGTAGAATCCATTATTTTTTCCACTGTGCAAGTCGATATATCGTTGTTCGTCCTATACGCTCAAAATCCATTCTGGCTATATCAATCCAGCTTTTGACTGACTCACTTCGCTTTTGGCGCCACTTATCACAGGGTTTAGCAAGTAACGAAATATTTGTCAATTCTTGCGGTGGGCGACAAAGAACATGCCCTAACCAGTGAAGGCCACGCACTATGATGATATTGTTAATGCAAGTGAAGCAAAGATAGATGCAATTATATTGTATTGCATAATTAATGTATAAATATTGTATGGTCAATCGATGGATAATTCTAAAATTTCGGTAAATCTGCATAAAACAATGAATTCCAACAGGTGCTCAAGCTTGAGCTTGAAAACAGTAATAAAATTTATGAAGCCTTTAATACTGATTTTTAAGTCATTTGCCTCTGAGCTTATAATCGATCACTGGCGCGTTAATTTTGTTTTTCTAATCTTGATAAATTTTTTGTTTTTGTTTTTTTGCAAACTGCTTCCATTAGCCACTGATAAAATGGTAGCAGTTGTATTAGAGCAGTAAATTATTATTTTATCATATTGTGATAAATTTTTTTTTTATTAATATATTTATTTGATATATTTAATGCAGATATTTGAGATAAAATATTTTTTCATATTTGCCGATTTGAAAATTATGCTAAAAGTCGAAGAATATTGAACTGACTACTAATGTGAGATAGATTTTATATATATTTATATATATTTATATTATATATGCATATTAACTGCTAACAGCTGAGCAGTTTGCTTCAGTTCTATCCGCTAAATAATTTTTTTCGTTAATCGGCACTCACCATTTCTGATTTATTTCACTTGGCTATTTTGTTTTTTTGGTGCCAATGAATTTTGCCAGAGAATCAATTGGTGATAGAAATATGGTGAGCACTTCAACTCTAGAGATACTGGTTTATTCCTGGCAAGGATTGAAGTTGGGGCATCGAGGTGCATCAAAATCACAACTCACTGAGCCACATTCTAAATTGCAAAAATAAATTTATTTCTTTCCTATAAGAAATGCATTCTTTGCCAATTCTTTTATCTACCAATGAATCATTTCATTGCATATGTTTATATTTATTTTTACATCTACTTTTTTCATTAGTATTTACTTTAGATAAATTTACATGTTTTATTTGTTTTACTATTTTTTTTCTACTTGAAAATATAATAATACGATTTCCGCCTTAGTGAAATTGTTAGAATTTTTGGTGATAGCGCAAATCAACAAATAAAAATATAAAAAAGCCAGTTTATAGGAAAAAATTTGATGCCAGCTTCTCGACATTCTTTCATACCATTTATCTTTGTAGTCATATAAACGTCTACTTTTTAACATTATTTTCTTATCATTTCCAGCTCATTATTAATATTCTTTATCACTTTTATCATTTTGAACAAATTGTTTTGAATTGGTTCTTATGATTTTTTTATTATTGTTACCCATAACCACTAAACTTATTAATATCTTTTAATATCTGTGTTGTACTAATTCTATGATCTAATCTTTATCACTTTTTTAAATCCAGAAACACCATTTTTTCATACGAAAAAATACAAATGATAGAGTGGTGCTTGCCATTTCTGGTTAGAATCATCATGCTAAGAAAGCCAGAGAGTAATTTAGGGTAGAAGTGCCAACAATTCCGCTCGAATTTTTCGATGGTACTTACTCTTGTTGGGGATAAAATATAACGTAAGTAACACAAATATCCGATGCAACTATTAGAGATTTCAGAATGTATTTTGTACGTTGAATGTTTCACTATTTTTATAGACGGTTGATTCGAAACTGAAGTAAAAATAAAAAATTCTCTAAAACTCGAAAAAAATAAAAATTTATTTTTTCTCTCTTTCTTTTCTCATTTTACCTTTTTTTTTTCATTTTTCCAAACAGCTTCGATTATTTCCGATCCAACTTAATTAATTTAACCAATGTGAGCTCCGAAATTATTTATTCCTCAAAATAATTTATTTACTCCCTCTTTTATTCTTTTTTTTTATTAGTAAACTATTATATTTCAGTAATTTATTAAATTAAAATTGTTATTAAATTAAGCAAATCGTTTCTTTTTAATCGCTTTTTTATTACTTTCTCTTTTATATAATAAACTGTTTTTTCGAGTTTTTGCACAAATAAATTTTCATCGCAGCAATAAACTATGGAAGCAATAAAATAATTGCGAACATTAACGAAGAAAAATAAGTTTTAATGCAAAAAAAATTTTGATACGACCGTTTCATATTTATTTTTATTCGATAATAAAATAATAAAAATATAATCTAAAATTTTTTTTTAAATGTGAAATTTTAAAATATTTTAAATAAATCTTTTTGCTTTGCTTTCATTTTATTTTTATTTATATATAATTTTATTTTTTTTAAGGAAAATTTTTTTTAAAATATGTTTTCCATATTTACGATTGCTATCTTATAAACTCATACGAATTATCATAAATAAATAACTGTCCATCACCTATTGTGCGTTTAATCCAAATCCAGGCTTGTCAGAGTTATCAAGAAAAAAATTAAAAAGTAGCTGAAACCCTATTTAATCAAAAATAATATTGTAGAAGTAGTTTGCAGTTGGCTGAAATACTAGTAATGACCAATGACCAATATATTTATTATCATATATTAAATTCACGGTATTAAAAAAAAATACGAATCGTAGAATTGGCTCAATGCCTTGTTGCTTAATTTTGAGTGTCGATGTTCAGGTTCCCCGCAGGAATAAACCTGTTCAAAAATCCGTGTGATGCTAACGATTCGCCTATACCGCTATCGCAAAGGAACCTAACATATCTATCTAGTGCATTAAGCCAGCTGAGCGAATCTGAGGAGGGTTCTTCAAAAAAAAAAAAAATTTGGTCGTTATCATTTAAGTAATTCTGCAATTGCTATAGGATTGTACTAAAATAAAAAATTCTTTAGCAAAAGGATATATTTGTGCTTCAATCAACTTCTATTTCAACCTTTTCCATAGTTTTGCGAAAAAAAGCAGGAGTTCAGATATTTAATTTATCCAGGATTATTCGGGAATATCCAGGCTATCCATGAATTTTGGAATGCGGTCAAAGCAAAAAATTTTTTAAGTTACTCATTTCAATTTTGGTAAATTTTTAAAATGAGAAATTTTAAAACATTTAAAATAATTCTTTTTGCTTTTGCTTTTATTTTATTTTTATATATATATATATAATTTTATTTTTTTAAGGAAAATTTTCAATTTTGAAAAAAGGATTAATGGTTTTTTTTTTTTCATATGGCATGAATCTACTTTTTTCTTCAATACAATCTCACTAATACAAAAAAATATTGCGTTGGTTATACTCTAAGAAAAAAAAGAAAAAAGTCAATTTCCCCGTTGAACAGCATTGAAAATCTAAGAATAATAGCGGTTATGCAAAAAAAAAATATAAATTTATTAATTATTAATTCAACAAAAATATCTCAAATTTTGAATATATAAATGGATCATATTTTATATTCATATTTTATATTTTATATTTATAATGGATCATATTTAACAAAAGAATTATGCAATCAAATGGTTTTCAAACGCTAATTGACGTGATTATTCAATTCAGAATGTGTCACATGAAATTTTTTTTTAAATTATCAAATAAATATTACGTGAAAAGTACATCTTACAACCTATTGATAATCGCATATTTTTTTGTTTTTCTAAATTATTGCCATTTCTATTTGAATTTTTCAAGCGAATTTACCACTGCTGATTCAATTCGCTTCGCTGGCTTATTGGACTAAAGAACTATGCCCACGGAGTTCCTTGGCGATTGAAGTGCAGGTGAGTCAGCGGGATTTTTGGACAAGTTTACTCCTGCGGGGAATCGAACCTCATCGGCGCTCCGAATTGAGCAGTAATCCACTAAGCCATTCGCCCTACCATTCTGAGTTAGGCTATACGAAAATTTATAAACTCTCATTAATTTATGAGAGGTACTAGATTGATCATAAGGAAGCCTAAAATGATATGATGATAATTTTTTTTATCATTGTATTAACTGAAATAAGTTGCTTGTTGATTTGCCCATATTATTTGAATTAAAATAAATAATTAAAATCGAAGATAATATTTTACTACGATATTTTCCTCACTTTTCCAACAGGAATAATTTGGCTTTCAGATTTTATTATTTTTTTCATTGCCTTTAAAAAACCTGTTGAACCTGTTGTTAACTTATTTTTTTATTGATAAAAATAGTGAAAAAATCAAAAGTTCAATTGAATTGGGTTATTTTTATGTCTATTCGTTTCCTTATTTTTTTTTTATTAATATTGCATTAACGTTTTTATCTAAAAAAAAAAAAATCGACGAAATCGATGATTTCCTAATTTGTTCGAGAAACCTATTCAACAGCAACTTAATTAATCATTATTGCAGAATAATGATAAGAGAAATGATAATCGTTTAGTATAAAAAATGCTCATTGCCAAAATATTCATTTGGCTGCTATTATTAAACTATATTTATGCTGGCTGTTATCAAAAACGCTTATGTTGTCCAGGTAACAATGTAAGTTGCACAGCTACTGACGATGGTATTAGCCATTTGCCACTTATGCAAACGACTGCCTCAAGCCTGTATAAGGTTGTTTATGATGATAAACACCGGAAGATTGGTAAACTCGTGGCTGAGGATTTTATTGAACTTGAAGGAAGTGCTGAAAATATTTACGATAAATATTGTTAGTTTTTTTAAATCGTAAGGTATATAAATTTATTGTGAGTAATTTAGAAAGAAAATAATTTTAAAAAATTTAATTATTAGTATATTAATTTTAATTTTATATTAATTTTTTTTAATGAACTTTTTTTTTTTTTAACGGGAATTCAACACCTTAACTTCAGCTTCCGCTGAAAATCAGCCAATGTATTTGATAGAATTGGCAAATATTACTACACCAAGCTTCAAGCGCCTTATCTTTGGCCCAGCATACGATGATATTAACGAACAAGAGGAGATTATGCGGTATTTTCGTGGCCATAAAATAATACGGTGTGAACGCTCACTAATGCTTCTTAATTAATTTTTGTCTAATGATTAATTATTAAAAAATGATCTCTCGCAAAACGGATTGTTTTTCAGACTTTTACTAATAGTGTTCTTCATTAACTACATAAAACTACATAAAAATTATTTTTTAATATATTATTTGTTAAAAATTATTTCTTAATCAAAATACATAATTTATAATTTATATAATATAAATGAATAATCCAAAAATTGCAGTGAAAGCTTATTATTAAATATCAAAAATTGACGCGTGGACCAATCAAATATTAAAATATTAAAAATTAGTTTTCAAAATTAACGTTTTAAAATAAGCCATTGAACAATGTTTAAAAGCACTTTAATAGTATTTTTTACAATAAAAATATAATAAATATTTATTATATATGGGATGTAACAAACTTTATTATAATTAATTTTTAATAATTAATTTTAATTTATAATTAATTTGTAATAATTAATTTGTTTTTGGTGAATTATTATCAATATTATGATCATAATTTGATAATTATCGCAGAGGAAATTTTATTTGTATATTTTTATCATTAACTTTCGTTCCTATCTTCTCGATTATTGTGTTGAAATTTTGAGATTCGACGAGTAAATTATCAGGTCTTATTTTTAGTGTTAAAATAGATCACTTTCATAAAATTTAATTCTATTTAATTGATTTAGAAATTTGAATAATAATAGCTAATTAATAGCTCAATTTTTTTTTTTTTTTTAATAACGATTTATTCATTGGCATTTATTTCGTATATTTTTGTAGATAAATTTTTTATTTATTACTATAATAATTAATTATTCGTTATTTATTAGAATTTATTTATCGTCTAATTTAAATCAGAAATTATTTCTTTTTTTTCACTATTTTGACCAGAAATTATAGAAATTATTTAACGAAATATTCTATAAATATCTAGAAAATATTTCAAAATTAACTTATTCATATGAGGTAAAAAAAAAACTATTCACTATTGGTGTCCGTTGAGAAGAAGCCTGTCCTAAAAAAAATCCGAGAAATGTTTGGAACCCAGCTGTATTTTTATTCTCAAAAGATTCATCAATCAGTGGGGAAAAAAGCGAACGTTAAGTGCTAATTTTTTACATTATAGGGTAATTTTTTTATATCCTTGGGCTGATTTTTCAACAATGAATATAGTTATGAGAAAAAAAATTATGTTCCAGCAATTTTTTTTCCCTAAATCCTCAGTTTTTTCATGCGTTATCGCTATGATTTATTCCAATTTGCTTTCATTCAACTAGTTACAATACGAAAGTTGAAAAAAAAAGTTATTAAAAAAATTGTAAAACAAAATATATTTATAGAAATTTTGAAATATCGATATTATTTTATTTTATTATTTATTTTCATATTATTATTTTATATTATTATATTTTATATTATTTTCACTTTTGCTATTATTTTTCGATAATATAATAAATTATTTTTATAGCGATTTTCCATTTAAATTTATATTTATTGGCATTTGTTAGTCTCTTTTTGTTGAAATATTTGGCTAAGCAAAGCTAATAGCTAAATAACTTAAAAATAAATAGCAACAATAATGAAATGAAGCTGAAAGTCGCAGATTCGAAACAATATCAGAAATATTCGTATTTATTTACACTTTAATTTAATTTAATTTTAATTAAATTTTCAATTGATTTTTAATTTTTTAATTTAATTTCTTAATTTCATTAGACTATGAAATTTGTTCTAAGAATTAACTCATATGTAATTCATAGTGGAGCAAAAGTTTCCAATAAAAAATGATAAACTGAGAGAAATATTGAGGAATATTCATTGTTGTGTATATTTTTGGGAAAATCTTGGCCTCTTTTCTGCTGAACAAACTTATGATAATACAGTTATGAGTTAAGGGATAATGCCGAGAAAAGATCAGTGCATGTTGTGTAATAAACAAAAATTGCGCAAAGAACTTCAATTATGCGTTCAGTTCGATAAGGAGTACCATGCAGACCTCACATGCAGCGTTTAATTGTTAAGTTGTTATTCATATAAGCACATGGCGTTTGTGGTCCTACTTGACTGGTTTTCAATAAATAAATATCGCGTAATACTTACCACAATTTTAACTATGGGAAAATGGAAAAGGTTCTGAAGGTGCATATGGCACGGTATAGGCTTAAATGATGGATAAAAAGTGGTTTCAATTACTTTCTAGAATGACATCGATTTAAGAGACTTGAAACGATTTTAGTCATTTCAGCCATATAGCTAGTTGAACCAATATACCTAATAATGGTATCGAAGAAGAAATAGTTACTGTTGGTGCAAAAATTATGAGTTAATGCTTTATATCTTCAAATGGATCAGACCTATTTTTAAAAACACTCTCGTTAAAACGAACTAACGATCTAAGAAATTAGTCCAATATTATAAGAAGGAATATTCGAGATTTTTTGAACTAACTTTTGAACTTTTGAATTTTTTGAACTTTTTTGAATTTTTTGATCTTTATAAATTTATCACCAGTAATTACATAATTTGGTCATTCTTTCTAAAATAAATGGCGCAGTAAAGGAGATTTTGAGTCAAGGAGATTTTGATTTTGATAAAAAAGCAAAATAGCTAAGTGGATTGTTGCTCGTATTTCAGGGTTTCTATTCCTGGTAGGGATAAACTATATATGTCTTTCAAAAACACATCTGATACAATTCACTTATATTTCTATCGTCAAATTCCATGGCAAAGTTTATCTAATCCAACAAAACCAGTGCAGCAATTTCTGATCACAAATGGTACTCACTGTTTGGAAAAAATAGTAATTTAAAATTTTTTTGGAGTCCACATTTCGTTCTGTTCTTTTTTTTTTAATTTAGCATGATTATGTGCAGATTGGACTGTAATTAAAGTTTCGTACAGTTGACTAATGGCATGCTCAGAATTTAACCGGTTAGTGCGAATCAAGACCAATAAATTTGCTATCAAATCAAGATGGTTTTTGAATATCTCAGCATGTTTGTAACTCTTATAAAACATGAAGTATAGGTTAGAGATTAGATTTGAGATTTGGTAAATTTTCAGAATTCGTCGACATGAGAAAGTGGATCGCGGTATGGTTGATTATGATGAGTATGTTTTATTACATTTGCCTATTGTTTTACCTATTTTTATGGGTTTAAATGATAAATTATATGATAAATGATAAATTTATTTGTTGTTGAAAAATTTTTTTAATTTCAAATCTCAATTTTTTTGCTACAATCATTTTAATAAATAGCCATGCAATAAACGTATATTAATGTATTTAAGAAATATTGTATTAATATATTAAAAATATTAATAGATATATCAAATATATTAAAAATATAAAATATTGAAATCGATGAACCTTTTAAATATTTCATTTTATAGTTTTTCATAGTTCTTCTTGGTATTAATAATATTTTTAATAATTGTCTATTCACAATTCTTTTCCAGGCAATTTTCGAAAATTAAATGTTCAGAAAATGATCATAAATTTTAATTTTTTGCCGAAAAAAATATTTCATTTTCCCAAAATGATAGCTTTTTTTCCAAATATATTTTAAAGCACTTTTAATTTAAAATTTCAAAATGTGCTGGCTCATTAATTCATGGCTATCGATTGCAGAAACTCTTGGCCAAGTGAATTGGCTCATTAATTATTGATTACTGGCTATTGATTTCATTAACTCTTAGCCAAGTTATAAATGTGTTTTTTCTATTTCATTTTTCATTTACGAAATATCAAGGAGTTATAAAGATGGATTATAATTTTAATAGCTAATAAAATTTTATTCGATTTGATTTGTGAAAAAATTCTCCCAAAGTGTTCATTTGTTTTTATTACAGCAACTTTCTTTCATCGTAGCTAAACTCATTTACAGTAATAGTGGGTTTTTCGCCTGGTAAAGTGATAAAGTGATAAACTGATAAAGTGATAAAGTGATTTCCCATTTATGCTGTTTAAATATAAATATCTCTTCTAATTTTAAAAAATTTACAAAAAATCTTACGCTAATTATTATAGATATTCGTTGTTGAGTAGACATATTCCGTTAACAATCGCCGATGATTTGGAATATGCCGATAGCGGAAATTCTAGCGATAAAATGATGTATCTAGAAGGATCGCATGATAATCTTTGCTACTGCGATGAACGATGTATTACATTTGGAGATTGCTGCTCTGATTATACGTTCGTTTGTCCACGTAAGTTTATTTTAAATCATTTTTCAAATTATTTTAAATTATTTAACTATATAAATTTAAAAAAAAACGGACTATTTATAGCATCGGATTGTTTGGTAACTCAGTGGAATGAATGGTCCACTTGCGTTATAAATAATAAAATAGATAAATGCGGACACGGTGTTCGAACTCGGATAAGACAAATTAGACAAGAAGCGCGTTACGGAGGTGCAGAATGTCCACCTGTCGTTGAAAAAACGCTTTGTTTCAAAGAATGTTTCCATGAGAATAGTGGTAAATTTAAATCTACCATGATCTTTCTTTTTTTTCGACCTTTTTTTATTGACCTATAAGATTCATAAGTAAGCATGGATATGCCTAAATAATTTTCGATATTTTTGCAGATACAACAACTGTCGCACTTCTAATTGATTATCAATATAGCAAGATTCGTGAAACTTTATCACGTGATAATGTTTATTGGGATCTTCCTGAAGTTGCACAAAAAGTTGCTAAGCTTTCTTAGTAATTTTTTGTATTTTTTAAAATAATTTCGAATTTTTTAAACAAATATAGTGAATTAAATTGAAAGTTAAATTCAAATTGAAATTAAATAAAAATTTTTATTTTCATAATTTTCTTTATACTTTTTATAATTTCTTCTTAATTTTCATTTGAATTCATTTCAATAATTCAATTATTTGTTTTCAGTTACTGCGTTACATATGAAATTGGTTGGGTTAATCGCAACTGTGTTGATAAAAAAATCATATCGAAATTATATTCAGGGAATATAATTTGTGCAGAATGCCAGCCAGAAGCTCAACTTCATCGGAGCACATTACGGTAAAATTAGCCATCTTTTAATTTAATTCTCCTTTTATCTTAAAAATTTTCTGAAATACCATAAAAATATTTTAATAGAACTAAGATTTCAGATGCGCATCAGATTTAAACGATGGTGACTATGGTTTGTGGAAATTGATTGGGCCTCCATATTGTAATGGCATTTGGCGTCGAATTTCGAGAACGGATAATTGTCGATGTGACCAAAAATTCCCAGGGAAAGATTCTTATCTTTTGGTCTAATATTTCATTATCTTTTACTAATTTCAATGTGATAACCGTTGTTTTAAAATTATTTGTTCTATAAAAATTGTATATATTAGTTTCATTTCAAGGAAAACTTTGCTTTAATGAAAATATTTAATAGATGAGAATTTTCGATTTTCCAATGCATTAAACAACGGTTCATATATCCTTCCTATTCAGCGCTATTTTCGACTTTCAATATTACCAACGGGTTGCTGCATTTTTCCATGCTTCAATGCCTTTAAAATTGCACGCTAATCCTATTTCATACATATTTTTTCTGCAAATATCATGCAAATATCTCTGATAATAGCTTTTCTTTTTAGTACTTTTATCACAAATAATAGCTTTAGCATTTTTTAAATTTATTGATGCGTTTGTCTTCATTTATTTTTTTTTCAATACTGCCGCTTATCAAATTTATCTAGCTTTAAATCTTGTGAATATTTCAAATTGTTTATAACACTTTTTATAAAATTTTTAAATTTAATGTTCTTAGATTTATTCAAATAATCCTATTTTTTTGACCAAAATTTATATTTAAATTAACAAATAAATGTAAATTAAATAATAAAAGTGTATATTTAATCGCGTATATTAACGAACAATTCTATATTTTAATATTTTTTTATCAATATCAATATAAATCGCTGATCAAAATTTGATAAAACTTGAGATATATAAAATAAACTTTAATAAATATGAATAAAATGACATAAAATTAAAGCCATAGCCTTATAATTTTCATTCTTTTTTTTTCTAATCATTAGAATAAGCTTCCTTTTGGTATGATTTGCCCATCGAATTTTTGCAGAAAATAAAAACAAATTCTACAAAAACTATTAATTATGACATTAATTTAATTTAATATAAACATACCCTCAATCCATTCTTCTTTATTTTCATTTCGATAATTATTAATAAAATATTTTTACATTTTCATTGACCATTAATATAATATTTATAATTTTTTTCTTCATATTATTCATTTCTTTTTTTTCATTTTTTTAAATATTCTTTATTATATCAACAGAAATTCTATCAGCACATGGCCTTAGTCGTTATCTTATCTTATCTTATCATTTATACGACTATCAATTCTTATAGATTACATTATTTAGTTGTCAGTAAAAATGAATAAAATAAAAAATAAATAATAAAATTTATATACACTGAAATGCTTTTTATCTTAACATAAAAATTATTTAAAAGTGATTATTTCTTTTGTTGAAATCTTCGATGCTATTAATGTTAAATGAAAAAAAAAAGATATTTTCGTCTATTTATTATTATGATATAAAGCAGAAAAACAAAAGCTCCGTCAATTATTAATGTAATAATATTTCATATCTAAAAATATTGAAAAATAGCAATTTTAAATTAAAATTGCAAAAAAATACAATAATAATAGAATAAATATTAAAAATATTTGAAAATTATAATCATTATAAATTGTGCAAAAGAAAATGGAACTTTTCATGAGGAGATTCTTTTAACATGGCCCATGAAAAGGATAGTATTTTCTTGCATTATTAGATAAAGAAATGGATGATCGGCGATAAAAGTGATTTCGATGGAGGATACCATTGCAGATAGCGAACTAACGAAAACTGCTGTTGTTGCGGCTGCTTCGGTACCATATTCATCGACCTTTAAAAAATTGTTAATGAATTAATAGATTGAAACTATGAGATCCTTATTTTCTAAAAACGCTCATTCTGCTGGCTTATCGTAAAAGACAAATATTGTCAGATTCAGTTAGACAGCAGATAGAACCACTAATAACACTTGAATCTTTGAAAATAGGTTTGCTTCTGTCTAAATTGGAATTTCAACGCTTCGAAAAGAGTAATAATCCACTGAGACATTCTATCATTACGAAATTCTTTACAATATTAAATCAAAAAATTATGAATTCATGAACTATTTAATATTTTTAATCATATAAAAAAATGTAATAAAAAATTATTTTATTATAAAAGATATTATTTATTTGTATTATTTATATTATATTTATATTATTTATTTTTATATTATTATTTATTTTTTACATTATTATTTATTTATTATTTTATTTATTTATTTTTATTATTATTTTAAATTAATTTTTTTATTTTAATATTTTTTTAGCCAATTTTCCTAATTTTTTCAATTTTTTAAATTTCTATTTTGAAAGTAATTTTACGGAAAAAAATCGAGAAAAATATATAGAAGGAAGCAAAAAAATAGGCATTGTCACATACATTAATGAAGGCTTTATGGATGACATCTGAAATAAAAAGTGGTTGATCGCTAATTCCCGAGAAATCGGCTTGAAAGCCAAATGCATCTTTAATACCCATTTTCTTTAGAGCTTCAATCATGTTGAACTCTTTTTCGATTTTAAATTTCGGTATTTTCACCTATAATTTATGAAAATTAATTCAAAAATGGAAGATTTGGCTTTATTGTTGTTCATTTTTTGAAATTATTTTAGGAGAATTTTATAAGAATGAAAATGAAAATCGACGAATTTTCACCGAAACAAAGCTAACATAAAAAAAAGATAATGCTAAAATGAGGAATGAGTACCACGCTAGACTTTCGCAATAAATAGTTTTGGAAAAAATATAAAACCTAAAGAATTTTGGCTCTTTTAAGTTCAAGTTTCTTTGCCAAAAATTTATTAGCAAATTTTTTTAATTACCTTTACTTCCTGCTTACTGCAATTGCCTATTAGTGTATGCAACGCAGCTCCATTGAATTTTTGTTCAAAATCGGCCAATCCGTATTTTTCTCTTGGCAATATTATATACATATATAAATTTTTCATTCCTTTATATTGTATACCAAGGATTTGAATTTCATCATCTTCAAAATAAGGGAAGTACCTCTTCTTATTCATCATTTGTACCTATAATATCAAAATTTTCATATGTAAAAAAATTATAAAAAAATAAGAAAGAACCAAGAAAATGACTTACTTCGTTCTTTTCATCCTTTGAAACATAGAATACTTCTTTAGAATTCATCGATGGATCGAACTGAACGAACCAGGCTGCTTTGAAATAAACAGCATTTATAAGTAAAATCCTTGAGTCATTTGTAAATAGGCTAGGGCTAACAATGTTTGTAATTTTCGAATTTGTAACATTAGCGACCCACTCATTTATTTCCTAAAAATAAATGTACACTTAAAAAGAAAAACTTTCAATTCCAGAAAAACTTCCTGGAACCTTTAAAGGATTTATTATAATAAGTGCAAGGATTACCGACGCTGTTGTATCAGTCTCCAAAAAATTAATAGATTCCACTTCACCATCATAAACTTCACGAATTTTTTCTGTGAAATTCTCTAATACTGGAAATTCTTCTTGAATATATAATTTATTTGCCGAATGCAGTTCAAATTTTCCTTCTGTTTGCTTTATAGCTTGCATTATCATTTTGAAATATTCACCAATTTCCTCTCGTTGTGCACCTTTAAAGCGTTTTTTATAAAAAAATATTATTTAGTGATGAAATATGTCAATCAAAATTATATAAGTGGAAAATTTTAGACATTAAATTTCTCATTCGGAAAAGTGAAAACAAAAAAAACATAAAAATAAGAATATAAAAAAAATAATAATCGATAATTTGTAGTTCGTAAAAAAATTTTCTAACTAAAAAATTTTTGTTAAATTGATATGATTAATTGATATGATTGATATGATTATGAACCTGATATGATTAATTTTTTAATGTACCTTGAGCTAGAACTTCACTAATTTCACGATAAGTATTTCGTTCCGCGCCTATTCCAACCATCGCCAATAAAACGGCAATTGAAAATGGTGACATTATGGCATTTTCGTCGTCCTCAACGCTATTTCGAAAAAGATTCAAAGCGAAATCAATCTGCGCTACATCCATATCAATCCTGTCTTATAAAATATGAAGAAAATAAGAAAAATTTCTTGAGATCAGAAAAAAATTTGTTTATCTTTATGTGGAAGGCTTGGTAAACGGTACCAAACTTACCAATTTATTATCCTTTAAAAAAACAAAAAGTTCATTTTTATATATTTTAAATCAATATAGTCAGCTATTTTGAACAACATTCAAACGTTGCCTAGGAAGGAAATACATCAACCGTCGCCTAGGAAGGAAATACACTATTATCGTATTCTTATGGAACAAATAAAATTTTTGGCAATCCTAAGAGAGTATTCACCTTTTAACATCGCTCATCATTTCTGGTTTGGCTAACTTCACTGATTATTCATTAGAGTGAGATTTTTTCATTTCAAACAAAATATCAAAACTATTTTAGAAATTTTACTTACTTTTGATAACCTTGATAATTGATTATCTCAATGGTATCGTTTTTTTCCTCGGCATCAACAACAATCAGAAAACAGACAAACAGCAAAAAAATTTTAAAATGTTCGAACATAGTTGATTTTTATCTGAAGCACTAATAATTATTTAGCAAAAAAAACAAGAAATTAGATATTTAAGTGAATTAATAATCGGATATTAAGGAAAAAAATACCGTGAAAAAATATCTGATAGCATTGGTAAGGAAAGACGGCAAACAAACGATAAATACTAAAATATTGGCAAATTTAACGACTTATAAGCATTTGATAGGTTTTTTTTTGAAAAAAAAAGCATAGAAGTTCATCAAACATCAGCTATCAACAATCTTCATCGATAATCTTTAAGAGGAAAATAACCAAATTTTGAAAAAAAATTTATATAATTTCTTTTTTTCTTATTTCAACAATATCGATGGTGTGTATGTGGTGCAAATTTTTTTTTCACAATTTTCACCATTAATGATTAGACTCGTTCAGTTGGTGGTTTGCCAAACTAAACAAATATGCCAAAGATCCTCTTGGCTATAGAATTACAGGTGAATCGCCAGCATTATCCAGATTTATTCATGCTAGGAGTCGAGCCTCAGCATCGGTGTAAATTTTAAAGGTTCCACAATTTTTCATCGCATTATCATCATAATTTTTGGCTTAATTTTGCTTTTGCCTAACATAAATTCTTTAAAATTCTCTACGCAATTTAAAATAAAAAGGCTCAATTAGCGAGCGAAAAGGTATGCTACTATAATATTTATAATTTTCTTCATTAATTTGATCAAATATTCCGTTCCACGATGCGATACTAAATTTTTCATATGCAATTTATTCGGTCAATAAATAACGGAAGAAAAATAACAAAATCAATGATTTATGGCAAAACTATGTTTATATAAAAGTGTTGTTATGATATTTAACGGTCAAATTACATTGGAAATCAAGTCTGGCAAAAATGAATTATATTTTTAATTTTCCAAATTATTTTTTTTTTTTATGTCATCTTTTAATGTTATATAATAATTAAACGAAAAATTGAAAAATAATTTTTTCAATTTTATTTTGTCATAAAAAAACTAAATTTAAACTTTTGTACATCAAAAATCAACATCAATGTTTTATACCGTTGCGTTCGATTTATATCGCTACAATATGCAACAATATAACTCCGAAAAATTATTTAAAATACTTATTTAAAATGTATCGCCGAACGATATCTAACTTTATATGGTATATATATCATTCTATATCAATATATATTTTATGATGAATAGAATGCCACAATGCTGAAATTCGCGCAGAACTAAACCTACGCAAAAATCCGAATGATGCTGGCGACTGACCTGTATTTCTATCGTCAAGCGACTCTATGGCATATTTGTCTAATGCGATAAGCCGATAATGGTGAGGATTCTCAAAAAAAATCGTTTGTAAACGAAATGAGTTCATCTTTACTAGAATATTTTTATGGTACTCTTATAGAATATCACTAAAGTGTATTAATCACCAGCCTGATTTTTTGATACCCATCTGCAATTAATATATCTTATGATGGATAGTCAAAAGCGATAAGCAAATTTTTTACGAGGGAAATATCAAATATCAGTTGTCTTATCAAATATCAATTGTTATATCGAACCGCGTCAATCGGTCGGTCAGTTAAATAATCAAAGAAAAACCAGCTTTTTTTATTAAAAAACATTATCGTAAAAATTAAAAAAACAACTCAAATTTGGGAAAATAAGAAATAAAAATATAAACGAAAAAAACAAAAGAAAAAAGAAATTTGTTAAGAAATTTTTATTATTATTTATTATTTTATTAAAAGCGAGGTGGGCCAATCAAGACCTGGACTGATACGGCGAAAAGATTTTGAACGTATAGGTGGACCAGCAATATATGGACTTAGACGATGGAAAAAGGAATGGCTTCCATTACTGTCGACGATGGCATCAGACCGCTTGGAAGCGTCTTACCCTTGTAGTCATTGAAGTCAGCCTAACCAGTAATGGTGAGAGCTGTTAGAAGAAGAAGAATTATTTTATTAATATTAATATTCATATATTATATTCATATTAATATATTAATAAAAAAAATTCAAAATAAATTATTTGAGAAAAATATCGTTTCATATTTAATGGTTTCGTTAATAAACGATTTCCACAATAAACTATGAAATACGAAAAATTTTAAATAAACTGGGCAAACTGGGCAAATCGCAACATTTTTCAACAATATGCCAAATATGCCATCGATAAGGGCAAAGAAATAAATAAAATAAATGATCGAAGTTAAAATAATATATCGCAAAATCTTAAGAGATATGACGCTTTTTAAAAAAATATATATTTATATTTATTAACAAATAGGAAAAATAAACTGGTTTAAGTGGGGTGCGTTGGTAAGTTAATGGTAAAATAACTGCCATCGAGATTTGAGTTTGAATTCGCTGACGCACAAATCTCTTCATCGAACTGCAATAATACTGCCGAAATGTCTAACGAAAAAAAGAAAACAGTAGAATAACTTCAGTGGGTTGTTGCTCGATTTGAAGCGTTAATATTGAAATTCCAGCTAGCTAAAGTAAAAACTTGCCCAAAAATCCGAATGATGCTAGTGACTCATCTGTACTTCTATCGTCGGGAACCTCCTGATATACTTATTTAGTCCAATAAGCCAGCGTAACGAGTCTAACTAATGAAAGCGATAAAAAAAATACATGAATTTAGCCAAATTCAGATCGATTAAGAACGATGAATATTATAGCTGTTGAAGAAAGCGAAGCAATACCGAGTTGCACTCTCTTAGTCTCAATTGCTTCTATAAAAAAAAGCACTATTTCTAATTTGGTTGACCTGGCTAGAATCATTCGAAGATGCAAATGCAACGCAACAACCCTCCTACATGCAATTTATTCCCACATTAAAGATGAGAAAATTAAAGTTGACCCTATGCGAAGCAAATATCATATCAATTAACTAATTCAATGTTTTATCATTCATCTAAAATAATTTATAAAATTATGAAGGATTTTTGAGGATTATTTTTTCCATTTATAACAATTATTTGCATTTATAATAATTATCTTAAATGACACAAATATATAAAATTATTGCTGAAAATCATTCAAAGGAATTTATAAACTATTTATTTGATGTTTGATTTCTTTTATAACAAAACAATACGTTCTTTTTCATTGCTAAAATTAACAATATAGAAATAAGTATTCTCGCAATAATTCACCAATGCACAGATTCGAAATGAATAAAAGCTTCGTATTGAATGAAACATATAATATGAGCAGTAAGCTTGTCACCAACAATGGAACCTTATTGCGATGAACAACAATTTACTTTTTTCTCCCTAGGGGATTCTAACGAAGCGAATACACCACCATAGTATTCGAGGACAAATAGAAATTATCAGAAGAAGAAAGATAGAACGCAGATGATAATGCAGAAATGAAAATAAAAATGCTCATAAGGTCATTTAAACGCTCATTCAAATCGCCCTCGTTCATTAATAGAAATTGATAGAAATTTATTCGCAAAATATCGTTGAAACTGCATAAAAAGAAGAAAATCGGTAAAATAAGCTATTATTTAAAAAAATTTTCTGAAAAAATTTTCTTCTTTTGTGCAATTTTATAGTTTTAATATAAATATGGCATTAATAATAGAAATGAAAAAATCTAAATTTTTTTCTAAAAAAAAGTTTCTAAATTTCTTAAATTTTAAATTTCTAAAAAAAAAAACACATTTTACGAATAAAAATATTTATATTATTGCTGAAAAAGGAGGACAATAAACCGAATAATAAATCATTTAAAATGACTTTCATTCAATTTGGATTTCTTTATCATTTGATTGATTCGTGCTCATATTTCTCTATCAGAATTCCCTTCCGTTATATCAAATAGACCATAAGATAGTTACATTCGTTCTTTTCTTTATTATTCGTTAATAATATTGTTATCCGTGATTCTTATTTATATTTACATTTATTGGTATGCTAATGATAACTGCAAAAATTTATAAAGTAGTGATAAGAGATTGAATATTTTATCAATTTTACAAGTTTTGATAACATTGTTGTTAAAATGTTAAATGGCAAAATCAAAAATGCAAAATTCAGTCGACTCGTATCTCAATTTATATCAAGATGATTTATTAGTATATTAGTATTTTCTCACATTGAAAGCATCAAAATCACCTTTCCTTGGAGAATTGAGGAATCGAACCCTTAGTAAATTTTTGATTTAATAATGAGCAGAAATATTAATTTCTTCATTGAAACTAGCAGAATTATAGTTTTAATTAGCCTTATTTATATATTTTTAAAAATAGGTTCAAAGCTATTTTAATATGTTTACGACTAATAAAATATAAAAGACTTATTAGAACCTTCAAATAGAAAGAATTTCTCTCATAGTTTGCTTCTTTTTTAGAATTTAATAAGTGAATTAATTTAATTGAAAATTCTGATTATTAGCTAAAAATCTAATTTAAAATATAATATATATATGTATAAATTTAATATAAAATATAAAATATAAAAATCTAATTTAAAATATAATTTAAATTAGAAGAATTAAATAAAACCTGATTTAAATTTATTCGATAAAAATATATTGTTGAATAAGACTTATTTTTTTAAAAAGCCATTACAATTACTGGTTAGATTATTAGCTACTCCGCTGGCTTGTCGCACTAGTCAAATATGATAAGGTGCATCTTGGCGACAGAAATATAGATGACAGAAATATATAGTATAGATGGTGTCATCACCCGGATTTTTGGACAAGTTTACTTCCGTGGAAAATAATATTGTATTACGAATTGAGCAACAAGCAACAACCTACTGCCATTTTCCTCACCATTCTGAGTTAAACTGTACGAAAATTTATAATGTTAATTTCGAATGGTGCTAAATTGATAATAAGAAAGTGTAAGGTTAAAGTGCTGTGATGAAAATTCTTTTTTTTTATTAACTGAAATAAATTGTCCACTGAAGTAAATAATTTCTGCACCTCTGGCACCTAGTTTGTATAGGATTATTTACGACATCTTTACACCATTTTGAGAAATATTTTAATAAGTTTCAATTATTTTTTCTCAAGATGGCTCAGAAAAGATAAGTGAAACTAATATGTAACTGTACATTAGGATGATTTAATTGCTATTATAATCGAACAAACTGCCATGTAAATGAAATAATTAATATTTCTACTGGATATTTATTGGTCAAAAAAAATAATTGGGTCACATTTGGAGTATAAATAATTTTGTGAATGCTTATTGCTCGTAATGCAGATTTGCAAATATAAATAAAATTTGGTAAAATTTGGTACCGAAATGTGGTACTTCCCTGGTGTGAACGACCTACAAGAATATAATATAGAAGATATAAAAAGAGCGGAAGAAGAAAGCATCGGAAAATCCAAGCAGGCTAGTTTCACTCTAATACTACTGCATGTGTAGTGTAGTATTGTAAAAAAAAAAAAAAAAACGGAAAATTTTGGTAATTGTTATCCATATCTAATGCAGCTTATTCAAATAGTTCTTCATCAATAAATTGGTAAAAATGGCCGAAAAATGGAAATTCATGAAAAAAAAACAATTTTTAATAGTGATAGGCAAAAAGCATCATGATAAAAATATATTTGATTCATTTCAATGCTTTCTGAAATATTGTCAAATATTTTTGTAAAATGCAAATTGAAATCGACTAAAAATTGAATAAATGATAAACTGACAAGAAATTGAAAAATTTATGAGGCAAAAAATAATTTTCAAAATATTTCAAAAAGAAAAATTTTATTTTTAGCCAAAATTTTCTTAATTCAGTTTCTTTAATTAAATTCTTTTATCATAATTCAATAATTCTTTATAAAATAAATTTTTTTGCATAAAATATTGGTAATTTTTTATTTTTTTTGTAAGAGAAATTTATTCAGTAATTTATTCATTTGTAGTTTTTGCGTTTTAATAAAAACTCCCATTATGCAGAAGCATATCATATATTACTGCCTCGATGTTCTAAAATTTTCCTATGCATATTACCAGCTGAAATTTTTAAATTTTTTCACATGCATGAATTGTGCATGCATGAACATTACATTATGTTATGCATGCATAAATATATGCCATAATTCGAAGTTCTTTAAAATAAATTTCAGAACGGAATCTATAAAGACTGATGCATTGTACGAATATTGGTTTGCCAATAACTTTAATAAATTGTTCTAAATAGCATTTAGCAAAAAATGAGACCAGTAGAAAAAAAAAGACGATTCGAAAAAAAATATTTTTTTTTTTTGAGGATAATACAATAAATAAATCAATACAATGAAAATAATATAATTAATTTTTTCACAAAAAAACAACTCACAAAATTTATGCAAATTTACTTATTAAATTAAATTTATATAAAATAAATGAATGAGGAATTTTTGGCGCTAATCAATTATCAATTATTAATCAAAAAGATATAAAGGGCAGCAAGAATAATGAGATAATAGATGTATGAAAGGCGAAAATTAAGAAGAATTAACATGGCAGTAGTTTTTTTTTTTTTTAAATAACCAACTACTATGTAAAAAATTATTTATTATTATTAATAATATTATTATATATTATTTTTTATTCGTAATATTATTTATTTATTGTTTATTCTTAATAATTGTTTATTGCAAATAGTCTTCTAATTTCAATTTTCATTCGACTAGTATTTAAAATATATTTGCTTCATATTATGTACAAATTACTAATAATAAAATTATAAAATAACATAATTAGGTGAAAAACTAAAAAAAAGAGGAAATCGTATAGTTCAAAAAATTTTTAATAAAAATTAAATGATTTAATTTTACCAAATTTTGAAAAAAGTGATTGGAAACGAAATGAAATAGAATAATAATGAAATGAAATGACGAAATACTTCGAGAATAAATTTTGAAATTATAAATTATTATTAAATTATAAATTAAAAAATCTTAAATTATAAATAATAAATAAACCCGAAAACGATTACTTAAACATTACCAAATTACCAAAATTTTGCAATTTTTTTACATTCTTTCAAAATAAAAAAAAAATCACAATGGAAGACAAAATTATAACGAAAAAAAAGAATTTATAGATTTTAGAATGCTTCAAATAAAAAATCCATAGGTCATTGGGAAAAAAATTACTCAATACATTTACCAATGGAAAATTTTTCTTTTTTATAACATTTTTTTAACTTATCTCATTTTTTAACAACATTAATATTTTTACTATCCATAAATTTCCCCTTTTTCATTACTAACTAAATTAAACGTTAGAAAATAGAAAGGTGAATTCCCTTTAAAATCAATTAAAACTAATAATAATAATTAATATAAAAAAATATGACATAAAAAAAAAGATCGAACGAACTCAATCCAAAATGTATTATTAAATATGAAAAAAAATAGGAGAAAGAGAATCTTAAAATTCTTAAAATCTTAAAAAGAAAAAAAAAACTTAAAATGCTTTTTTAAATAATTATTTTAATTATTTTCTAATAATTATAATTTAAATGGAATCGAAAAAAAAGAATTAAAGAATAAATTCTAGAAAATTTATATCACTAAAAAAGAATTTTATCAAATTTCAATAGGTTCAGATTTAGGCCTATGCAAAACCTGACGATTCATTGCCTGATACCTACGACAGCCGATTACTACGATATAAATTAATCCGATTGAGATACAAATTACAAGCAAAACTAAAATCGTGATAACGATTCGATGAATTCCTTCGACAACTGATTGAATTCTTCTAGTTGCTTCATAGTTTTCATAGATCGTTGCAAGAAGATGATTAACAAAAGCATTTTGTTGTTCACGAGTATATGTTTCGTAACGTGACAAAGACATTCTTGATTTATTTGGCCAAAAACGATCTGTTATAACCTGAAATTATTAATGGGTTCAATAATGATTCGAAATAGTACGAATTATATATTGTTTTTTAAAGAGTTCTCATCACTACTAGTTAGACTTGTTTCTCCTGCTTATCAAATTTGCCAGGGAGTCGCTTGGTAATAGAGATAAGTGAATCGCCAGCATCACTCGGATTTTTAGATAGGTTTACTGTTGTGGATAGTAAAATTTCAGCATCGCTACTCCGCAAAATGAACAACAATCCACTGTCACAGTTCTATATTTATTTATTTATAGTGATACTTCTATATTTAGAATAACTTTTAATAATTATAGTGATAAATTATTGTTGCAGCAACCAAGTATATGCACATTTCAGATAAATCATTTAGCTAATATTTGAACTTTTACATTTGGCCTAAGGGGTCGTTGAATTTCCATACTCTCTAATAATGAATTTTCAAATTTTATAAGAGTTTAAACTGATTTGCCGTTTTTTTATTTAGATTAATACGTATTATATAAATTTATTATATCAGTACTACTATCAGTATTTGTCTATCAATATTACTCGATGAATTTTTGTGGAAATGTTTGCATTTTGCATAGTTCTGCTAAATTTCTTATTTCTTTCTAAATTTCTCCCTTTTTTTTTATTTCCTTATAGCGAAGCCATAAGATTCATTTATCAGTATTTCCATAGTTGTAATTATTTTATATCATTAATTAAAATCCTTTATAATAAGGACTAATAATTATTAATTAATGTAATGTCTATTTGTCAATATTAATATTAATATAATATTTTTTTTCACCATTTTATATATTTTATTATATTTTATATTTTTACATTTTATATATTTTGTATATTTTTTCTAATATTAAATTTTTATTACAAATGTTTTGACAAAATAAGTAAATCAGAAATATAATTTTAGCTGAATTTAAAATTAAGGTTTTCGTCAAAAAAATATTTCGTCTAAAATAATTCGACTAAAAATTATAAAATTACTATTCTTATATATAATTTTTATTTTTCCCGCGATTTTTTTTGTATCTTTTTTATTAAATAAAATTTAATTTTTATTTATTTTCATTTAATTTTTATAAAACTGCATAACTAAAAAAAATGAAAAAATTTATTTTATTTTTATATTGATTTATCAATTCTTTCGTTTTTTCATTTTAAAAATTTTTCTAAATAATTTTTAAATACTTTCTAGAAAATTAAAAGACACTAAAAAAAAACTTTCTAGAAGAATTAAAAATGAACTTTAGATAAAAGAAAAAATTAAATTCATAAAAATTCTTAAAATCTTAAAATCTTAAAAATAAAAATAAAAATAAAAAAAATAACGAAGCTATCCTCTAGTTTAATAATTTGAATAATTGAATAATTAAATTGAATAATTTTCGAAAAATATTCGTAAAAAAAAAACTGATTTTTCATTCTAAAATTACGTACTAAAATCAATTTATAATAAAGTTTGAAGTAAAATAGTCTAATGGTTTGTTATTGGTACTTTTTTTCACCATTTTATATATTTTTATACATTTTATTATATTTTATATATTTTGCATTTTATATATTTTATTTATTTTATACATTTTTTACCATTTCTATTTGTATTCTATTTAAAAAAAAAAGAAAAAATAATGATTGAAATTGAATCCTAAAAGCGATTTTTGTTGTATTTTTTTCTGTTTTCAATATCTCTTCATGGAATATTATAGGATTTTATGCGTGAAAATCATGAAAATGACGATATATATGCAATCAATATATTTCTTACTTTTTCTTCTCAAAATATACTACATACTTATCTAAAATATGACGAAAAATACTTGCAATTATCTTCAATAAATATGCATTAATTCAGAGAGAAAACTCGTCTACAAATGCAAATAAAAAGAGAAAACAAATTAGCATTCAAAATGAATATATAAATCGTCAACTGAGGAACCGATAAATGAAAAAATTCTGCAAAAAACTCTTAGAAATTAAAAGTCTATGCGAATAATCAATAGAAAAAGCGAGATAGAGTATTATGATGGAAAGCCAAAATGATAATTGTTAAATGCCATTGATTTAGCTAAATTTGGATCTTTTTTTTTTGCTAATGATTTAGCTAAAATATTGAGAATTACTGATTAAATATCATAAGCAAAAGAATTTATGAAATTTAATTTTCTAAAGTTTAGTTTTTTTATCTCTTCAACAAAAAAAAATTAATTAATTTTGTTTTAAAAAAACTTAATTCATTTTTATTTTTTTATAATATAAAAATATTATATATATTTATAAAATCATAAAAAGCTAAGCCAAAAAAATTATTTTTCATAAAATAAAAGTTTTTCCAAATAAATTATTGGATAAATGGGCCAATAAATACCAATGGAGAAATTCAAAAGAAATCTTTATAAATCTTTAAAAGAAATTCAAAGCGTTCTTTCAATTTCGATTGTTAAATAAGTGCTTGAAAAATCTATAAAAGTTAATTACTAAGAAAAAATTAGAAAAAATTGAATAAAATATTTTATTATTGTTAAATAGGAAAAAATTTAATTACTTGTAAAATGTAATTTAACTATTTTTCTAAATCTGATTCGATTAAATATTGTAATTCACAATTTATCTGATGGTTAGTTGCGTTAAACAAAAATAATTAATTAATAAAATAAATTAAAAATTAAATTAAAATTAAATAAAATAAATAAATAAATTTGAATGATTCAACAATAATTTATGAATATTTATATAAATTAAGAAAATTTATAAATATTAAAATTTTTTTATCCAATCCGTTGTAAACTAAGAATTATAGTTATTTTCATCGAAACAGACATTAATGCAAAATTTTTTACGAAAATAATATCAAATATCCAACTAGTTTTTCTATCTCTTTTCTTATAACTTTGTAATAAAAAATATAAATTATTATTCTTTAGTAAATGAAATTTTTATTTTTAAACTTATCATGCATAGTCAATGTTAATTCGATTCATTCAATACGTTCTGTGGAAGGTAAAAGATTGGATATCTCTGATTAATGGCTTTCGTATAAATTAAGGCTAAATGTCGCGGAAATCTTGACATACTTATAATTTTTATCGCAAAATTTACAAATAATAAAATTTTTATTGCTGCTTATAGTATAAAAAATAAAATAAGAAAAATAGAATGGCTCAGTGGGTTATTGCTTAATTCGAAGCACCGATGCTAAGGTTCTATTTTCCGCAGAAGTAAACCTGCACAAAAAAATAATGATGCTTGCGACTCACCAAAGGATATTTACCTAATGCGACAAGTCAGCAGAGCGAATCTAATCAGCAATGCTAAGGGCCCTTAAAAAATTAATAAAAATAAATAAACTACTAATTATTATCGACCAAATTAATAATTCAAAAATATTATCCAAATTTCTTGATTTATGAATATTTAAAATTATTTTGATATGTTCCAAAATACATCCATTTAATAAATAAAATGTTAATAATTAAAATTACTGAATATTCTCATTTATTCGAGTCTAAACAATATTTTTTATTATTATAACATTATTGTAATAATATTTTTTTATTGTTAAAAAAAATATATTTGCAGTACAAATCCAATTTTATTGCTTATAGGTTTGCATTTCAAATCCTTTGACGGAGGTAAACCAGTCATGTAGATAGTGCTACTGGTTTATGATTATGTGGTACTCTGCCAGATGTCGGCAGAAAAAACTCTTCCATAAGTAATGGGAGAGGGGGGGAGGGAGGGGATTGCTGAAGGAGATATATATCGTTAAAAAATATTTTTAAAAAAATATAATCGTTTTATTTCTAATTAAAATTTAATGCCAAAAATTTTCTCTTCATAAATTTCTTATTATAAACGTTTCTCTATTTGAATTCTCAAAAAGATTCATAAAAAATTCAAAATTCAAATAGACGAAAATATTAAATTGATGAAAATCGACAGGATTACATATATCTTATGACAAATTAATCACCAGATTATTCGCCCTTAAAAACTTTATCGATTTGAAAATATTTTATATTTTCAATTCATTACAAAGGAGTTTATTTTAAATGATTAATTATCAAAAATTATTAAAAAAGCATGCGAGTAATTCGTTGATAATTTTTTCGAATTATCATTTAGCTAAAGATTTCTGATAAAATAAAAAATAATTGTGCTAAGAAGTTTCTTTCTTCTTTTCCGAATTTTCTAATTTATATTTATATTTTTTTATCATTTTTACTAATAGAAAATAAATTTTTTTTGACGATTATTAGCAAGAAACACGACTATTTTCTGTTAAAATATCTGTTAAAATTTATATAGAAACGCATTTAATTTCATTTACACATTGAAAACCTTATTAAATAAATAAATTTTCGAATGCAAACATATTTTAAATTTTATACTTACATTCGATTTAAAAAAAAAAAGAAAATTCGATAGAAATAAAATCAAATAACTTATATATACTTTACTTATATATTATATAGATATATATATAATAATAAATATTTATGATAAAAAATATAAAAAAGTAAACACTAAAACCACAATTAAAATGGCGAAAATGATAAACAAAATTATTAAAATGATAAAAGAAAAGAATTAATCAGAGAGAAATAATAAAATTATAAAATTATAAAATTAAAATTTATCTACAATTTTAAATATTTTTAAAATTAATTTTAAGATGATAAACTAATTTAATTTTTCAAAAAATATTTTTGTTAAAAATATAAAAACATAAAATATAAAATTAAAAAAATATAAAAATATAAAATATAAAAATATAAAAACTAAAAAAATTCTGTAAACTATAGAAAAATAATTTATAATTATGAAAAGTTTCCTTATAATATTCAGTTATTTTAATTTGATTTAATATTTAATTTAAAATATTTCAAAAAAAAATTTCATTATTATTAATATAAAAATAACCTTTGCAAGAGTATGGGCAGTTTGTGGAAGGCAAATCGATGATCGC